TGATTTTGCCGAATGAAAAATAAAATTAAATTCACCGCGCGGTCCATTTATTGCGGTGATCATCATTTCCAAGTTCTTTGCCAAATTTTTTCACTGCACAAATGCCAAAGGCCGTTCAACTATCGACGGAGAAAATTCAGCTAAATACAGAGCTAACCTTTTAGCCGAACATTGAACGCATTGAACNACTTTAACTTTCCAGCCCCTCCCTTCAATCACATCTCTGGAATCTGCTAAAGTCTGGCAGACACGTGACCAGCCACAACCAGGGTACTTTCTCGAGGAAGGAAGAGAGAGGACCCTGGGAACGAGGTTGCCTAGTGTTTATGCTACAAAAAAGATGACGTTACACTGATGTGAACTGTATTAACACATTGGGTTGGTGTTGGTATGCTAAATATTGTTTGTATTATTCTCCTCTCCGTCAGGGCGACGATCGTGTTACCGGGACGATAGGAGCTTTCTCTCAGGAACTTGATTCACTAACAGTAAGCTGTTGAACTGTCTAATAAATCTTAGCTTTTACTCCTGTCGACAGTGATTCCTTTGTCTCAAGTGTAATTTTCTTGGTGCTTTACTATCGTGCAATTCTGGTGTGTCCTGGCGAAGGTCACCAAGACTTTTGAGGATCTCTCTTTTTCGAGCCTTCACTCACCCCCTCCTTCCCCACTCCCTGCCAGTGCCTGGCACCACTACTGTAGGCTCAATTCTCTGATCTTTAGCTTGGCTGTAATGCGCGCGTTTGTATTTGTACGTTTATCATTGACTGTAAGCAGTTTTATAAAATAACTGATCTCCTACTCGTGCTCTGATTGGTCGATAGGTGTATTTAAACGAGAGTATGTAGACACGGTTATGACGTGTTAGATTCGCGCGTTTTTTTGAGAAATATTTTCTAAAAGCAATAGAGTAGTTTTTCCGTCTTTATATAGCCTCATCTAAACACTTGTGGGGTTGGGAGAATTCTCGAAGGTTATGCAAACCCACGACAGTGTCTCAGGTTGCATAGCTGTCTCGAATTCTCCCAACTACCCTCGTGTTTAGATGAGGCTATGTAAACACAGAAAAAGCCCTCTTTTGCTTAAATGTTTGCATTTTTTTTTTGCCTTGCTTTTACTTAAGTTGTTTTTTGCTACTTTTGCCAATCTTCTGTATTTCTGATGTCTAGCTATGTTTGTTTTTTACAGCATATGTTAAAAGAGGAGAGACATAATGCAAGCAATGGCACTTACGAAGTGTGACACAAACATGTTTCACTAAAGAAATGTTTCTAATTCAGTCTACGTGTTGTAATTAATATACAACCGCGAGCTTGGTCTTGGATACGGCATGAACATTTTAGCACTGAGATCTGATCATGTGCTTTGTCATACATTGGCTGGTGGCGTTGGTCTTATAAAACGAGATATGTCTTTTTTTTCAACCAGGGGCGGAGTGTTCGGTAAACATGAGTCAATGAGTCAATGAGTCAATGAGTCATGAGTCAATGAGCCGTGAGTCAAGTTATGAGTCAGGTCAGCGGTTTTCAAAATTCAAAATGGCGGACGTCGCAAAACTCGGAGTAAGTACGGACTGTGAATTCGGTGGTTCGCCGCGCAACGATTTTTGTTTCTCGACTTCATTTTAACAGACGAGCAAGTTCAGAGGTTGAAATTACTCAAAGGACGGTAGTTACAGCGAAAGACCTTGTAATTTTCTTGCTGAAATGGGTTGGAATTCACAGTCCTTACTCCGAGTTTTGCGACGTCCGCTATTTTGAATTTTGAAAACCGCTGACCGACTCATAACTTGACTCATGGCTCATTGACTCACGACTCATGACTCATTGACTCATTTGACTCATAAAACAGGAACCCTCCCAGGGGCGAGGTAGCCTTACAGTTAAGCCTGGTTTTCACTAGCGAAGCAAGCACAAGTGCAAACGCAATAATTCTTATTTCACCGTGAAAACGGCCTTGACGCAGGCATAAGCACAAGCGCACGCGCAAACCCAAGGATCAAAATTTTTCCTTTTTCTTGTGCTTGCGCTGCAACAAGTGAAAACGAAATACCGCTCAGGCATAACACAAACACAAGGATATTTACCACACGTGGTTATGTTTGGCCAATGAAAACACTGGATCCAGATTACCTCGCGCTTAAACAGTTCTCCAAAATGGCGGAAGGTTCGGATGATTTTGCTTGTACTTGTGCTTGCGTCGAATTTCGTTTTCACTTGGGTCATCCCTATTGCTTGCGTTTGTGCTTGCGCCGCTAGTGAAAATCAGGCTTTAGCTGACGGCTCTTTACGCACGACGTATGACGGTATAAGCATTAGTTCTGGGTATTAATTGTATGAAACACATTGGGACTCTAAACCGCATAGTTTGTGATATCAGAATTTATATTACAGATTTGATAATGTGTAAAATAATTTTGCAAGTATAAAGAATGCTTCAGTTTATATCAGATGTTTAGAGGAGCCATGTCATCACGAGCTTAAGCTATCAACAGTATTTTTTACAAACTTTCATACCAGAACATACTCTGTTGTTTCTTTTGGAAGCCGGCCAGCGTACATGAAGCGGGGATACTTAATGGCAGCATAATGACATCGCCAGCTTCTTCATTTCTTAAATTTGTGTCTGCTGCAGACAGCTATATACTAATAACAGGAAGCCAACAATTGGACAGGGCATGGATTATTTTTTGAGGAAAATTATTGTAAGAGGAGAGCGTGAATGTAAACTTTTCTGGACGTTTTTCATGTTTACGCCTTACTTTTGAACCCTTTTTTGCTACCGTACTCAGGCTAGTTTGGGTTGCTCAACACTTTGGTTCCTTCTGTAGGTACTGGTCACAGATGACGTAATGCGAAAGAAATAAAAGGTACTGTTCTAAAATACAAACAACGAGATACAGAGTTTAAACATTTGCATCCAGTACTCACAGAAAAACCCAGGATTTGACATGTCTCATTTATAAATGTTTTACTATTAATTTAACAAAAATTGTAAACACTGCAGCTTAATAATAAAGCTACCTGACTTTTTCAATCTCTGTTGTGGTTATTTTAATTTGTAAGCCAATTGGCTTCTGTACATGTACTTTGATCGCTGGAAAAAAAAAAAAGGTTTAAACAATAGGGTATTTCTGTCTGGAAGCTATTAGCTGATAGTTGCCCCGCGGAAATTTGATGTTCCTAAAACAAATATGCTAGTTTTAAGAACATCAAATTTCCAAGGGGCAACAATCAGACCGAGAGTGTCGAGACAACATTGTATTGTCTTTATTGTTCACCACTAAATTTTCCCCGCGCCACTTCGATTGAAACGCTTGCGGCGACTTAAAAACGAGTCAAACTTCAAGGTGTGTCGCTTTAAAGCGTGTCTGCTGAGTGTCGGGACTATCTTACGGGTCGTCTGCGAGGTAGCAAGAATCATGGAAACCAAGTTGACGGTTAACGGCGATTTATTGCTTCAAATAGTAATGATCGTAAACTGAAATAACAATATAACGAATTTCTAATCAATTTACCTGAAATGCTGTGTAACATAAGATCAAGGGGGCGTGTAACAATCTACGTGTCTACGTCGATAACGCGACAAAATAACAACTAACAACGTAAATTAACATAAACTAATCATTATAAACTATGTTAAAACTACTCGAGATTGTATAAACAATCAAAAGATGAACATTTGCGGCTGATCAACAGCTCATAATAGCCTAGTCTTAAATGTGGGCGTTCACTAAATAATGCTCGAATTTATGCGATGTTCTCTTTATGAATCTAAGACAATCAAAATTGTGTTACGTACGATTCTGTACAAAAATCTGCTTTCGCCCAAAATAGAACAAACTAAATCTAAACAAACTAAATACAACTACGAAATTCACTTACATATCGGTCCCGCTTGTACCAAGGTTAGGAAACGAAGAACAGCAAAGTTACTACTAATCAAGGCGAAATCTTTCGAAACTCTGTTAAAGGGACGCTAACTAAGTTTTTATATGCGCGTGGTGACGCTAAAAGATCCGATTACAAAACCAATAGGAAACTAGATAAGCATACGTAAACATTGTAACTCAGTTCTTTACTAAGACCTAGGCGCGCAATCAAGCTAATCGATAATTGATTTAATAAAAGTTGAGACTTTGTCTAGTATCCTCAACATCGATAATTACATAGAATTATTTTCAGCTTTAATAAGGGCTCCCCGAAAGTAACGTTAATTTTGTACCCAACCTCGTCCCCGGGGTCGTCCGGAGAGGACCAGAGTCTTCTCCGGCCCGCCATTTTAAAAAGTGGAGAAGGCCCTGAGGACGAGCTGTTTTACTATAGTTTTTTACACTGAATTTGGATTAATTTGTTAGAGATTAAAGTTTAAAGAACCCCGCGAGTAACGACCCTCCAGAGAATAGAGGACCTATGAGGAACTTACTAAGAGAAAAACTATCTGATATCAAGCGCAATGAGGATGGAACAGCCTGACTGCAGAACTGAAAAGCTTGTAGAGTTATTTGTGATTATATATCCAGCTTAACTTAGTGATTTTTTTTGAAACTATGATTTATAAGCTGCATTTATCAGCCAGCAGAGTCAAATGATAAAGAGAAATCAGCTGCATTTCGATATAATGCGACCATTATACTCTCGCTCAACAGTACCAACATTTGAGGCCTTTTTAAACCCAGAGATTGCGTAAGCAATCTATAAGGTTTTAGTTGTGGTGCAGATTATGCAAATGTATGCAAATAATGTCCTTCCATCATCTGTAAACTTTTTGGAGTAATTTTACTGACCAGTAGATAAAGTTCCTGAAATCACTGTATTATTCAATATTGTAGGCACATGTGTCGTTTTACATTACTAGGTCTAGCTGCGTTTGTTGCACTTTGTTTTATTTGCTTTCTGGGTATAGTTCAGTTAACATCTCTATTACAATTCTAATCTTAAATTTAGGGATCGGAGATTCATGAGACTCTGAAATACCCAGCAGGACATGGGTTCTAATTTC